CAATAGATATAGACTAGCCGTGTCAAGTTTTTCCACGGATGTGGGTCATCTAGTTGGCTTGATTTGGCAATAATTATGTTAAAATTAGTTTATTACCTGTTCTTTTAAGTTTGGGATGAAACATTTGTGTTAATTATTTCCAAATAGGTGGGTCTTCAAAGGTGACATTTATGGTGAATTTAATATCTTTTATTAAAACGTAAAATGCAATTTGTTCCTGCTAATTATTATATGTTTTTTTCTGATTTTTAGAAACGAGTAATTGCTAAATTAAGCACATGTTAAGTAACATAAAAACACAACTCAGTCTAGGTTTTTGCATTTGGTATGAGTCAAATCCAAAATCTAAGTAAGCAACTTTCTCCACACTCATATTCATAGTTTACTTTATATCGCAATTGATGATAAACAATTAACATGCTCATAAACCATATACAAACAAACTACCCTTTTAGTTTTGAAACCACATTTAGTGAAAATCTACATCTATTTAAGCCAGCCAGAATCTAACTCCCTCACTCTTCTTTGTTGTAGAAACTAGAAACTAAAAAGAGTATGGAATTGGGCTGAATTACTTTTATGATAGTATGGTAATTATTATTACTGAAAGCAAATAGGGATTTGCTTTTCTTTATCCTCAAAAAGCTGAATTAGACCGCCGGCTTTATACTACTCCTTGATGCATATTTTCTCCAAACTGTCCTTAAATAATAGCTGATTTGGTATTTGTGTTGTATGAAGTATCACCATCAGAGCTTATATTTGTTTTTTGTTTTTTTATTATTCATGACTTCCAATGTTTTTTTTTCTTAAATGCTGGCTTATTGGTAATCACTTTTAAAATAGTTTTAATATTACTATGAAGCCTTGTGGAAAAAAAAAAAGAATGGTTTGAACACAAGAATGAAGATTGATAAGATAAACTTAGTAGATTGAAACCAAAATTGATGTTTAGCTTAGTTTAGGTGAATGTGATAGAATGAGAGAGGAGCAGGAGAAACTTAGCAGTATCCATCTCCATTATTGAAGCAACAAAAAAAGGTTCCAATCCCACTTAAAATAAATTAAAAAAAAAAGAAAGAAAGGTGGGAAGCTCTAGAAAAGCTGTACGGCCGCATAAGGGGAGACATTAGGTTGGCTCCATATCGAATGTGGGAGCATGTTTATATTCCATGCATTTGTCATGTCATATCATTCCGATGCATCACCAATTCAATTTCATTCCACTCCCACATTAACCACCACTTCTTTTCTTACCGATATCTCATCTCATCTAAACACACATTCAATGTGCATAATCTAATGAATTTTGATATTCAAAGTCACTTCAAATTTTATTACATAGCTTATCATAATTTATTAAACTAGTAATATAGTTTTATTTATATTAAAACGTGACCAAATTTTGACAATTGATCTAAGATGACAGAAGTGAAAAGAAAATGTTCAAATAGTAACATAAAATTTAACAATCACACAAAACGAGAAATGACATTTGATGTTTTACACCTTATTATACAAGAAAAAACAGAGATTCAGAGGGATAAATATACATGAAATTAAAAGATTTTCCACGTAATAGATATACTGACTGACCAAACAAAAAAAAAAAAAGGGGGCGAGAGAGAGAAAGCCGAAGCCCAAAGACCGAGGGGGGACTGCCCCAACAGAACATTGACGGCGACTAGATTAACTGCCCGGAGTGCCCGTGCTAACCGAAATGTAAATGTTAGCACACTGAGAAAGTCGCGTCGTTATCTGCTGCCCGGCGGAGTCAGATAAAGATATAAAGTCGGGCAGAGTCTCATGTCGGTCTTCGGACAGGTCTCGCGTTCCGGACGGCACGCGCGGTCAGGTACGTATCTGAAAGTACTTGCACATATGGAACAATAATTGTTATTGTTTTATAAAACAGAGTTCGAGAAACAGAAAAGCGGTAAAAGTGTTGTCAAAAACGCAACTTTCTCAGTTCCTCTCTGCCATTACAATACATGGGTCTTCTTCTACATGTGTTTTCGTTTTTTTGGTTTTCCTTTTGCATTCACATTTCATTTTCTACACCCAATTGTTGATTATTGTGTGACCTCCTTTCATTTTCTCACCCGTCCCTTTTTCATTTTGAGATTTACATCCATGTCCTGTTTATGGATAGCTCCAAATCCTTAACCTTCAACTTCAATGTCTATTTTACAAAGATTAAGTGCTTATTGGAACAATTTAAAAGGAGACTCAGATTCTTGACATCAACCTCTCAACTTGTTCCACTTGCAAATATTTTACGAATATATTTAGTGATATTATTCTACCTAAACGTCTCAAATTCAATCAATCCTGCCTTATTACAAACTATTAATCCCAAGAGGTCTAATTAGTTTATAACAATACTACTTTCTCTTGACTACAAGTGCTTCTATTTCCTTCTTAACAATATATAAATCATTTATGAAGCCATTCATTTTATATTATTTTTATGATAGTGGGTGTTTAGACTACTTTACATTCACCGAATTATTGATTAAATAAGAGTTCTAATGATTATCGCTATTAGCAATCGGACTCAATTATTTTGTTCTATATATATTCATTAACTTTGATCTTGAATCAAGGTAACTATTTTCTGTTGGCGACATCCGAAAAACATAATATATAATAAGTTCATGGAATAATAAGAACAGAAGTATTAATCTAAGTGAAAAGAGTATAACTGTTTTCTTCTTTAAATAGTTTGAAGCATATAGTGGTGGATTGTTTATTCTATCTATAAATAGGCCCACTTGCTAATTAAATAATTAATTGATGATCTATGAGATTGTGTTGACTTAATGATAAATAGGCGTAGATAATGCCAAGATATTAGTAATTACAAATTACTGATTGGTAGTAATAGTGTTTATTATTATCGTGTAAATGAAGCTATCGATAAAGAACATCATTTACTCTCCAACATCAATCATCTTCAGACCAATATAAGTAATTGACAAATGGTTCCATAAGTCTCAGACATTGGGACCCCTCCCCTCTTTCCTTTTCACGTGGTTTTTCTTCTTTATTCTATTATGCCTTTTTATTATTCTTACTTGGTAATTGAAAATTTCCATGCATATTCACCACACAATTCCTTGATAAAAAAATGGCAGTTGTTCTTGTTCATACAAATATCACCTCAAAACTTTTTAACATTTCAACATTCTTGATAGGGTCAATTGGGTGATCCTTAATTATACTTAGAAACAGATGAGGGGTTACATCATTGTGATTTATAAAATATTGTCTTATATATGTTCTTGTTATTATTAGGTAATAAAATAGTGTTTAAGTGCGGGTCAATGTCTCCTTTGTATCTTTTTTTACGAAGTTTTATCATGAAATTCCTCTCAAGATTGAACCCGTTTAGAGAATATATTATATACAGTATTAGTAAAATCAAATCGACACTCATCTTTCACAGTTCCCAGTCAATCCCACGTCCTTAATTTTCATCCGTAAAATATACGACATGACATTTTCAAGCGAATAAGGTTGTATATATTTGGAGTATTTTTATGCAGCTTCTTGTTTTGTATTATATATACAAAAGGACACAACATAACAAATTCTTTTTCTTTTAAGAAACCTAGTCATCTATTGCTTTAAATGCTTAAAAATTTTTCCTTCAATTTAATAGTTATACATCAATTTCATAAAGTTGCAGTCCAAATTGTAACTTTTTTTTTTTTTTTAATAGTCAGGTGTCCAATACCAGTATACGCTTACTTCAACTAATCTCTGAAACTTATTGAATATCTTACAAACTTAATTTTTTAAGATAAACTAAAAAGGTGTGATAGATAACCCCAAGGTAATTCAAACTCAGGAAGTCAACGAAATGAGCAAACTTTCTTGACTGTTAAATCAACCATTTGAGGGTCCAAATTATACCTTTGTCCAATAGAGTTTATTATCAATTATCAGCACCAATAATCAGTCCCTTATTCTGCATTTGACGCCACTAATACATATAATTCTTGAATCACCTTTGATTAAATGTGTTGTGATATTTAATTAATTAAACCCGGTTATTGAGTCAATTAGGAGATGGTGTAAGAATTGGATAGACCAATGAAATGATACTAAAGTCAAGGAAAAGCATATTTCCACAAAATGAATGGAATGTGTCAAAGCCAGAGAAAGTGAATGATGAATAATGGATTAGACTTTGGATTAGATATAATAATAATAATATTTAATGATATGATTAAGAGACAAGAGAAGAAGACGTACGTGTGAATAATGAATGGAGTGGCACACCACACGAAGGGTAATCAAAATCAAATGAAATAAGTAGAGAGAATGTTAATGGTGCAAAATTCAAGCCAAAAGTCCCGGGTATTGGCTTTTATAGTTGGGTGTGGGGACATCTTACTTTACGCGTATTTCCACGTGATTGGCCCTCTCTTTGGACTCGTGATGATGGGTTTTGAACAGCATCTTTTAATCAACCAACACAAGAGATTATTCTTTTAGTAAACTTGATTACTATACAGTCTACATCTATCCCATCCCCACTTCCCCCATTATATTTTTCTTTTAATCAAATCCCACTTATATATGTATACCAATATAAATTACGAAATGCTCTGCCTCTGCCCAACCTCTGTTTATCAAATTTCCTTACTCAAAACAATCACTTCAATGGGTTAACTCTACTGGCTGATACTTGGAATTATCATCAGATAATGGAGTCTTGTCAAATAAGTGAAAAGTAGGAAAATGATAACTCAGAAGAAGAAGAAGGGTAGACTAGGAAAATTAAAAAAGAAAGAAAAAAGGCCAGTTACTTCCCTCCAAAAACCACTAACAACAAAATTCCAAATCCAAACCCACTTGGGTTTTATTGAAATAGACTAAAGTAAGTAGCTTTTTTTTTCTCATAATTGTATATCTCTATATTAAAGCTTTTCTAAACTCTCTGTCCTCTATTCGTTTACACCCACAAAAAAAAAAAAAAAAAAAAAAAAGGGCAACCAAGCTAATATTTTGATCCACTGAACTCACAAAGGCAAGTCATGTACACTACTACTACTACTCACATCTTCTATTTTCTCTCTTTCTCTCTCACATAGAGCATACATATATACACTAATACTACAACAACAACAACAACAACAAAATCTACTTTCTTTAGCTAGCTTTTCCACTAACTCAAAAAGACTCGACCTTATTCTTTGCTTTTGTTGATTTTGGATTGTTGTAGATCTACAAAGAAGAAAAGATGATTCAAGAGCTCCTAGGAGGCGCTGGTTTTATTGGAGGTGAGAGGAAGTTTTCCATCACTGGAACCATTTTAGAAGGCACTCCTTCTCTCTCACCTTCTCCGGTTTCTTCTTCTTCCACTACTAGTGCTACTACTACTACTACAACTACTGTCACTTCTACTAATTCTAATACTTCTGAGAATCAAAACTTGAGGTGTCCACGTTGTGATTCTTCTAATACCAAGTTTTGTTACTACAACAACTATAATCTTACTCAGCCTCGCCACTTCTGCAAGACCTGCCGTCGTTATTGGACTAAAGGTGGTGCTTTGAGAAATGTTCCCATTGGTGGTGGATGTCGCAAGAACAAGAATACCACTGTCTCTACTTCTATTTCTAAATCATCTACTGCTTCTAAGATGAAAACTGTTGCATATGAGTTTGGAAGGTCAGGTCTTGGTAATGGATTTGATCATCATGATCTTCCATCTAACCCAATTATGTGGGCTTCACCCCAAAATTCTCAGCTTCTAGCCTTACTCAGATCCTCACACTCACAAAACCCTAATGCTAATTCTGTTTCGGTGAAAGAGGAAGCAGGTTTAATTGGAACCACTCATCATATGATGGGTGAGCCAGGTGTTGGAACAGCTTCACTAAACTCTCGAACCACTGCGATGTTGGATCCTCTTACTCAGGTTCCTTCTCTGGGTCTTTGCAGTCCACTTTGGAGAAACACTCATCATCAGCAAGCTCAAAACTCATACCAACAAAATGGTTTCTTAGTTGGTCATGAAGTTCAAAACTCAGGGATTCAAGAATTGTATCAGAGGCTCAAATCATCAACTAACTTTTATGCTGATCACTCAACAACACCACTGCTTCTGGGTAATGCCGCTTCTTCTTCCTCGTCTTCAACAACAACAACCATTTTGGAGTCAGCTCCGGTGGCGACAGGTGAATTGGGTTTCTGGAATCCAACTTTCTCTTGGTCTGATCTTCCAACAACTAATGGTGCATATCCTTGAGAACATCTTCTTTCTTCTCTTTATATGCTAATGTTGTTTCTATTGTGGTTGTCTGGATTGTGGTATATGAATATGGATGTAGCTTCAGGTTTTTTTTTTTTCTTTTTAGTATGTTATCAAGTGTGTGTTTAATTACAGTGTGTTTTTAACTTAATTATGAAGGTGTACCAAACTATTAAGAAGCGTTACAAATGAGATATATTAGGTCTTAAGAATGGTTCTTAATATTTGTAGATTGCAGTAATTTTTTTTTTTTTTTTTACCGGAGTATGCAGCCAGTTTCTGCGCAACTCAACATTGGTAGATTACATTAAATTAGGTCTTAATATTTGTAGATTGCATTAAATTTTATACTACACATTAGATGTGATGGGATTTCCTTATACATCCCAATTTGAGGAGGGTAGGTTTAAACTAGTCAAATTCTGCAAGGGCTAAATTGTTCCTCTTAGACAGGAAATGCATGCAGCAAGAATTTAGGGCAGTTTTCTTTAAGTTAAATTAAATATATGAAAAACAAAAGCATAAACACTCAGATATAGATGATGAAAGAGAGTATATATCTTCTTGGTTAACTCAAAAACTTTATTAGGGAGCGGGGTTATCTTTTGAAATGTTAAGAGCAGTGGTACTACTTGTGGTGGCGTGATGGATGGCATATGAAGATTCGCTCGCTCAATGTTTGTTTACGAGAAAGGTGATGAATTAAGTGTTAAAAAGCAGCCTTTGAAAAGAGTTTCCTTAAACTGCATATTGATTTGCTCGCAGTGTAAGAAGGATTCCATCTGCAGCCTTATGTCTGCTCTTTTCCTGCTTTGCTTCTCTTAAATTGGTTTTGCATTTATTCTCTTCGAGTAACGTGAAAACTTTCGCCACCCACCACCATCTCTCTCATCTTCTTCCTTTGCCTTTTCTTCTTAGACATAATTCAGTAGTTTCACATCCAAGACGAACTTGACTAGATGCAATTCTTAATTTCTTATGCAAATTCCACCCTATGGTTCTGATTGGTTCTATGGAATATGCAAATGGTATAAATTTAGTATAAATTCCTAGCTAATATACTTCTTAAGGAATTAATAAACTTGCCCCTTGCGCCTTGAGGCATTACCAATATGAGGATTAAATTAAAAGTTGCTTTAGTGCTGGCCCTAGACACTGAATTGAGTTATTGCCGACAATTGAATGCTTGACAATGACAGTATGATTATCGAAAATTTAGATGGTTCAGTCCCATGCAGTATGTTATGTCGAATGAAACTGAATTCAATTCATTAACATTCAACAATCACCATGTTATTAACTCGTCGATACAAAGCCGCAGATGAATGAAGGAAAGCTTTTTATTAGGATTATAATTTGAAAGTAACCTAACACGTACAATAATCTCAGCCTAATTAGATACCATGCTCCTTCCCCCCCAAAAGTCACCCTCGTGACTCAAAACTTAAGAAAAAAAATATATATCAAAAGAGAAATGCATTACACCAAGAACAAACAATGATGCTACGGCCTATGGGCGCTTGGCCTTGCCACAATATAATGCATTTGGAGGAACATCAGTCTCTGTATACACGCTATGTTCATTGTTCCATACTCGTAGATATAATTGCTGACCCAAATACCGTCTTGACCAGATAGCAGACCTCAAGTTCCACATACCCTTGTTGTCCAATGACACATACACTGCGCTCCAAGAACTTGGATATACCTGTTCATTCCAGAGCAATCACGATTTAGTATAAATTTTAAGTTCTGATTCAAAAAATTTGAGTAATCACTTTTGTAATAATGCTTCAAGACAACGTTATCTTATACCATCAGGATCACTGTGTTCTAGCTAGCATGTGATGCATATTGCAGCTAGCAGTTGCAGGTATAAAGCTTTATGAAGAATTAAATGATACTGCCTAATCTAGCTAACGTTAATTACTTGGAGTTTTTTGTAAAAAAACTGTTTCATTTACCTGAACGGTGTGTCGGGAAACAGCATCAGCCAAATTGTACTTTTTCTTCATATCAGTTGTCCATTGACCACCACCATAACTGTGATTTTCAGAGATCATTAGCTTAGTTGTTTTTTCATTAATAGATAAGTTGAAAATAATTCAAAGAATGGAGGGCTACCCAACAACATAGAAACTGGATCCATCGAGATGCCAAGATTGGACAGTTGTGTCGTTGTTCTGGAAGACGATTTCAACGTAGTCATGAAGAGTAAGTCCAATGACAGAGACACCAGCCTTGGCGAGGGCGCCATGAGTGGGTTTGTCCTTGATGGTTTTTAAATCAAAGACACCAGAAATGTTATACCAATCAGCAAGCTTCAATGGGGTGGATGGATCCACATAGGAGATCCCATTAACAGCATATCGAAGCTTGCCGTTTATCTTTACTGCTGTATTCTCTAAAACGATGGTCCTCACAACTCGTATTTGACCATAATGGAATGATCCTTGAGGATTGGGCCTGGCTGCATTTGCTGTCAAATTCGTTCTTCACAAACCAAAATTAATTGAAACCAGTTAGAATATTAATACATGGTAATTAAATAACTAGACATGTAAATTCATGTTTTACTTGTAATTAATTGTGATGGAAAAATAAGAATAAAATCGTAGAGAAAATATAAAATGGTGAGTACCTGATGGTCCTGGCTTGCTTCATAGACCAGTGAAGGTGATAAGTGGGAGCAATAGGCAAGGGAAGAGAAGGTGGAGTATGAGAGCCATCATAATGAAGAATAGCAGTAGTAGTAAGAATAGGCTTAGTGAAACGAGAAGAAGCAACGATGTAATAATCTTTTGGTGACCCATTTAATGTAATTTCAACAGCTACAGATTGACCCACATGAACATCAATCGACTCATACACTTCCTGCAAAGTGTGAGCTCCTTCAACTTCAACAAGTGTCATCGTATGACCCTGGATCCTGAAGTTGATGGATGTTTCTATGCATAAATTTGATACCCTGAATTTGTAGGTTTTTCCTGAAATAATTAAATACATTAAACCCATTTAAATATTATCTTAAAGACTAATATGTTACCAACATATATGTTTATCAGGAAATCAAAAGGATGAAACAATTACCTTTTTGACCAGTAAAGGACAATGAGTTCGGCCGGCCATTGATAAGAAGACTATCAGGAACTGGCAATGCATGGCCATCATCAAGTCTTTTCTGCAAAGCCTGCAAATTAAAAAGAAAAAAGTAGTATGTACTAGAAAACTTTTGCCTTGAAGGATGATTACAAAATTGAAAATAGACGAGGAAGACTATTGCATGGTCCCAAACCTTGTGGTCACCAAAGTTCTTGTACCAATCACTGACGAGAATAGTGAATTCTTGAGCAGGTATGGGATATGGAATTGATATGACAGACCTTGCTGCAATATTAAGAGCCCCATAACCTCCAAAAACTCTATGCATTTGTGTTGAAGGGAAGTAATTATAGGTTCCCACTTGATCTTTCAACTGGAATTTGTATGTCCAGTTTGTGTTTTGAGGGATTGGGCAATTGGTTCCCAGCACTCCATCTTGCCATGAGGTTCTTCTTTGCTTAACTCCATTCCTAAATTCCCATAAAACAAGTGTTGGATTAAACAAATTAACTTGCCCATCAAACTCACTTAATAAATACGTAGTTTTTATTTCATATATACAAGGAATTGATTTGTAATGTTCTGGCGGTGATTTGTGTAATTAAGGCCAAGAGAAAGTCAATCCTGGCTCAGTCCAGAAGGAAGAGAAGGTACCATGTAATGAGGAAAGGCTCATCCAATTTGTTAATGACATTTACAATTATGTTGTCATTAGTGACGGCTTCAATTGGAGGTCCAGGAAAAAGACCATTGATTAGAATTCCCTGTACAATCATAAAAATATGTAAAGATTAAATAAAATAATAAAAAGACTTGAACATGAAAATTTCTAAGCTGAGTTTTCCTTTTTGAATTCGGCAATGCAAAAAGCTAACCTGCTGATGACCACCGAGACGAGAAACTGTTCCGTAAGTAACAGTCCATGTATAATATCGATATGGGTCTTCTGCATTAACCGAAAAGACACTCAAGCAAGCCAATACTCCAGTTAAAAATTGCAGGAAAATGGCTTTTCTCATTTTATTAAAAATCTTCGACTTCCAAATATATCTGCCCAGCAAAACATGTTTACACAAGCAAATTATTGTAATCGATTACTGTATAGTATGATCAAACAGTCAGCTGCTTGAAGTTCGAAATAACATCTAATTAAAATAGGGAATGTGAAATATAATCATTGATTAATAGTATTAGACATGGATGATTATCAATATCTGATAAAGGATGCAACGAGCTGATGTATTCCTAGTTGGTAGTAGCCAATCTTTGTTTTCAGTATGGAATTAAATTTGAATAGAGAAAGGATAGAAAGAGAAACATACCAGTTTAAACCAATGGCCTCACAGCCAAACAATGACGAAAGAAAAATTGTAAGTGGAAGCGAAGTACGATGAATGGTCGAGCTCTCATAACATATATAGACTGTTTATATAAAAGAAGCGAAGTAAGAATGAAGATGATCTTAGCAGAGCCAGTATGGACACGTAAATCAATGCATGAAGGCTCGTTTGCGGCGTACTTTATGCACAACTCATTTTCACCTTAAAATTAATATTATTCAACTCCAAGTTGCTATTTTAACTAGAATTTCTCGAAACCCTGCTGAAACCCGCCACTGAATTCTTTTTTTCTTTTTCTTTTTTTAAATTATTTATTCTTTGCTTGCTATATTGGTTTCACTTATATTTGGCGGTGATGTTAAGCTTAGATTTGGATATTCGTGGGTAGAATGGTGGCGCGAAGGAGGAAAGAGGTAAGGAAGCGAGTGTGACGCAGCCGAGAACGGATCATCATTAAAACCAAACGTAGTTGATGTTATGCCTCAAAAGTCACATTTATATTAGCCTAATAAATATTTTTTTGTACTAACTGTTAAACCCATATCTCTTTAAAGATATTCTTACCAACCCTATCTCTTTTCAAGAAATGAATAAACGAGAGTCTTCCATGTGTCAAGTCAACTTGTAAAACACTCATTACATTGAGTGCAAAAGTGTATAAATTAGCACTTCTCTTCCCGAAGAGAGGGGCTAGGTATGTGAGAGCTAAAACATAGATTCAAGCTCAATTCTTTCTCTCTGTAAATACTGTATTTCTTCATTTTTGTATGTTTTACGGGCAATATCATAGAAATAGTCAAAGATTAATAAAATAACAGTGGATGTAAGAGTCGCTTGTTTGAGTATCCGAACCACTATAAAAACCTCTATTGTTAGTCTATTATTTATGTTTTCTGCAACATATATAATCTTAGCTCCATATTCAAATCTCATGGATCCATCATGTGTAATTTCTAAAACCCTCTTAATACTTTGCACGTGCGAATCGTTGGCGTCCAAAATCAAGCGTCAACAATTGACTTTTTTAGTTAATCAATTGTCATAATAAAGAGAACGCAGAGAGATTTAATAAGATGTTTTTAAGGTTTAATTAATGAGATGATTGGTTAATTAGATCTTCAAAACATCTTCGTTACCATAAGAAGCAAGAACCAAGACAAAGGGGGACTAGGGTGGATCGACTGCTTTGTTTTGTGTAGAAGTAATAACAGCTTGTCAATTTCACAGTTATATTGATTACAATTAATGCTATGGTAATTAATTATAGCTGTTGGATTGAGCGTCTTGAAGTGGAAAAGCGATCAAATATGTATTTAGGTTTGTTAGATAGATGAATTCCTCTACTATTTCAACACTGCAAAGCTCTTAAATATGATTAATGGCACAATTTCCTATAAAAATGGCACCTCATGAATATAATCTTAAAAAAAAAAAATATTATGTTTACAATTCAATCTCTTAATCTTTTTTTACAATTTTAACGTGTCAGTAGAGTTAACATTATCATATCAACTGACGACTTTGACTAAATATGAACGACTGTTCATTAGCGACGAATAACCATTCATTCATAAAGAACAATCATTCTTTATTAATGAACGACTGTTCTTTCATAAAAAATAATCATTCCTTATAAAACAATGGTTGTTTGTCCCTAAAAAATGGTCGTTTGTGTTTAGTCAAAATCATTTAGTGTCTTAGATATAGTGAGAGTTGACGCAACAATTGTTAACTCAACTGGTATATTGAGGTTATAAGATTGGATTATGAGCTTAATATTTCTCTAAAGTCAAAATTAATTCGAGGGTCTTTGCTGTGTTTGCTTAAAAACAACAATGGCAAGGTGGTGCGCCGCGTGTTTTACCAATAATCTTTAAGATCCACATCTCATTTTATGCTTACATTTTACGCAATATGCGTACATACAATCAGAAATTGGTTTTGAGTCTTATACAAATATTGGACATTGAACATGCATTCATAAGAATTAAGAAACTTTTGACTTTCTTATCTTATATTAATAAATCCAGCTAGATAAACATAGATTAATTAAGGATGAAACCATCTGAAGCATTGGTGCAGGGTACTAATCTCCTGGTACATAAACTGATTAAAGCCAATTAGTAAAAGGTGTTTTGATATGCAAGTTACTCGGTGAATAGGATGCATCCCAAGGACAGATCTTATGGGGAAACCAAAGATAAAATTACACATGCTCCATATGGTAGACCAACTTAATTTCTACACACATGAAATTGAGTTCTTATCATGTGATGTGCTCACAGCTACTATCATTTTACATATTGTTTTAAAATTTCTTGGCTTTTCAATGTCCTAATTATAACATTATTTCTTCCTAATTTTTGGAAGATGAGGCTGAAGTTTACGACAGTATAGTACTTTCAGGTAGAACTTTAGAAGCAGTTGAAGATGACTGTTTTCAAGGTAATTAGTAGCTTCAATCTTGTTTTCAAGCATGTAACTCTTTTACTTTTAAAACAATATTCAAAATGGTAAACAGTCCATTGTATAATAATTTAGAATACGGTCATCATTCAAACTCCAATTCCAATATGCTTCTTTTTTCAAAGAGTTCATCCTTAACGTAAAGACTGATAAATGCTAAGACTAAAGCATCAGAAACTAGCCAGTGAAAAGTGATATGAAGATTTTCACGAGCATAGGCGCTTGCATTTCGGCACAAAAATTTTGTTGTTCCTTTTAGCCAGAAATTGATGTATGCAAAGGATGTTAGCATAAATTCGTTTGAAGCTAAGCATGAAGGTTTGATAGATTAGATAATAAGTTCCCTTTCTGTAAAATAGCTTGAAAAAAGCTTCACTTTTTTCTTCAATTTAAATTCCGTCTGTTAGGATCTAACTGGCAAATCCAGAATAATGTTGCTTAGCACAAAACATACATACAATGAAACAAATATAATTTATGGGCCACAAAGTGAAAAAAGCATTAAAAACAAGAAGCTTCAGCACAATAGCTGCCCATGTGCTGGCCAGAATTCCAAAAAGAGTAACTACTGAATTTAAAATATCAAAGATACAACTTCACAAAAACCATGAAACCAGAAGAAAAATACTTTATAAATACTGTAGGCCATCAATCATAGATAAAACCAACTAAGTGAAAAATAGGTACAAATATATTAAGCTAATACATAATCATGTCAATGAAAATCCACCTAAATGTTTTTGAGATGTACAAATAAATAATTGGAATCCTCAAATCCGCATTCTTTTCTCCCTAGCAAAGACTCTTGCTTTCTCTTACAGTCATACCATCATGACTGATAAAATCAAATGACTAGTACTATTACATAATAATGAGACTAAGGGTGATGTCCAACAGCTTTCCCACAGAGTAGAATATTAGAGGGAGGGTCGTATTCATTAGCGAAGCTGCGGACTGCATTATAAACTTTGAGATAAAATTGTTGTCCAAGATATTGCCTTTCCCATATTGCAGACCTCACGTTCCACATGCCTTGGTTATCTAAGGACACATATATAGCAGTCCAAGATCGTGGATAGACCTGCAAAGAAAATTCAAGTGCATGAGGAAAAATTATAAGTACCTAACAAAGAACTTAAATGAGCGTTAACTACATTTGACCACAATACATAAGCATTATATAGATGGATTTAAGCTGTAATTTTTATTACTCATTTGTCTTGAGTTTACAGAGTATAGTTTTAAATAAAAAAAGAAATAGTAGCATTATATACAAGCATGAAAACAGGTATAATTATTCTGACAATAGTAAACAATAGCAATGCATGCACAGAGTAAGGAAGCTAAGATCAATTAAGCTTTGGTTTAAGTTACCTGAGCTGTGTGTCTAGTAAGAGTGTCAACTAGATTGTAGGTCTTTTTCTTGTCTGCTGTCCACTGTCCAGAACCATAACTGTACATAATACAAAAGGAACGGTTAGAACCTACCCAACTGGCAAAAAGCAAATACAACTTGGCAATGAAAAGTTTGACTTACCCAACAACCCAAAAATCATAACCATCAAGATGCCAGGATTGCATGGTATTTTCATTGTTTTGAAAGACAACCTCGATGTACTCGTGAAGCGATGTTTGCAAAACAGAGGTACCTACAGTTGGGGAACCACCAGAGGGTGTACTTTGGATCGAATTCACACTGAAAACTCCAGGGATGTTAAAATAATCAGCAAGCTTCAGAGGGGTATCAGCGTTCACGTAAGAGACACCATTAACTGCATAACGCTGCTTTCCATTTATTAAAGATGCTGAGTTTGCCAGAACAATAGTCCTTGTTGTGGTTATATTTCCATAATGGAATGAGCCCTGAGGATTCGGCCTGGCAGCATTTGCTGTCAAATTCCACCTGCCATAAAAAAAGTTATTGTTTCAATTACTACAATGGCTTAGTTTTATTAAGTGAAAAATGTATATCAGAAGGTGTATCAATGCCACTGAGATATCTTCATTTAACGACATCATAAGTGCAAATCTAGGAGTAGCTAGTCCTAAAGAAAGCTAACATGTTTTTGTGCAACTGGGAGGATAGATAGCATAAATCTGCTTGTGTGAAACCTCCTATCTTCTAAAGTAATTTATACCTGAAAGTTCGGGCTTGCTGCATAGACCAATGTAGTTGGTTTGAAGGAGCAGCAGGCAAGGGTCCTGAAGCCGGGGCCTTAGAATTAGCATAGTGTAATACTGCAGTAGCTGTGAGAACCTGCTTGGTAAACCGTGTGGATGCAACAATGTAGTAGTCCTTTGGAGACTGATTTAAGGTTACCAAGACAGATAAAGATTGACCAACATGCACATCAAGTGAGTCATATATGTTCTGAATTGTGTGAGATCCTTCAACTTCAACTAGCTTCATTGTGTGGCCCTGAATCCTGAAGTTGAATGAAGTCGATAAGCCCACATTTGAGATCTTGAACATATAGGTTTTACCTGAAAGCAAAACAACCATTGTTGGTAAAGACATATATTGTAGGATGAAAATTACTTTTTCAAGGAATTAAAAATATAGTTAGTTAGATGCTAAGTATGAC